GCCGGACGGCAAGGTATGAACAGTCACCGGGCTGGAGCCTTGGCTAATGGTTGCCACTGGGATGTTGCCCACGGAGAACTGCTGTCCGACGGGCGCAATAGCGATGGGCGAGATGACCGTGAACTGAGGCTGCTGGATGGGGGTGGAGGGGCTGAGGACGGTGGCGGAGGCTGGGCGCTGCAGGCGGGGTCTCTTGGGGGGCTTGGGAGCGCTGACGGGCATCAGCACCACGTTCTGGATGGTTTGGGACTTTGCCTTCTGGTCCTTGGCGAGTTTCTTCTGCTCTTCCAGCTGCCGCTCCAGGTCTGCAAAGAGAACGGCTAAGCAGCGCGTCGGACTAGGGCCAGCACGCTGCGGGAGCTCCTGGGGCCTCAAGGGCTCCGCAAACAGCCCTTACACCCCACGTTTGCGACCGGAGGTCTCCTAACCACCCAGTCGAGCGTGATCTTAGCATTTCGCTCAAGATCAAACTGCACTGAAGGAAAAGGCCAGATTCTCAGGCCACCCACGCAGACCCGGTCAATGTTCTGCACCCGCTCAGCCTGCTTTGGCCGGCTGGCAGCGCCTGGGTAAGGAACAGGCGATGCTCTGTACCAGTTGGCTGCTCCTCCCAATCAGAACATGGGCACTTCTGCTCCCCAAGCTAGACCCACCTACAAGGGAGAGAGGACAACCCCCCCGGGCAGTAGGAACTGCTCCCCGAGCTCGGCTGGGTCCCCTCCCCAGGAGCTGAGCACCTGTACTGGGGACAGGGAGCAGGACTGCCAAGGTCGATGACACATCTCCCTCAACCCTTGTCTGTGTGAACGTCGGAAGTCAGAAGCAGCACAGTAATCTCATTTATCCAGGGCAGTAGGGGACTAGGACATCCCAGATAAGAACAGGTCCTACAGGACACGGTGAGGAGGGAGATGCGTTCAGCAAGCGGCTCTGGGGAATCCAGGTCAGGTTATTGGCTTCAGCTCAGGGGAAGCCGTGCAAGACACCCGACAGCTCCACGCCAAGACAAGCAGACAACTCAGCACCCTGTACACCGAGAAGCTTATTAACTCGGGCACAGCACGGCACTGCCTGCAGCTCAAATGACTGCCGCGCAGCCCTTAGCTAGCAGCACCTATTTCCTAATGCCGATGGAATTGGACTCGCACCCCCAGCACCCTGGCTGCAGCAAAAGGCACAGACTTCGGGCTGTCGACTGCCCCAAGCAACTGCTCACTGCGAGGCAAGGGAGAGGAGAAATTCCACTCAAGCCCTAAGGACGGAAAGGGACTGGGATACATTTGTTTCGGGGCAGCGTGTATTGAACAATGACCCATATATGGTTCCTATGTCGAAGGAAAGTCACATCAGTTCCCAAGAGCGGCAACAGGATGAGAAGCCTTACTAGGCGCTGACTGTACCTGCCAGTGTGTAAAGAAATTGTTCCTCTCCTTGCTCTGTCTGGTTTTTCCTGTTGTCCAGAACCTTCTTGACTGTGTCCATTAGGCCAAACGTGTGGGCGACGTTGTTCAAGACTGCAGCATCTGCAAGGAAAGTGCATGGGGACGAGTGCCTGGTCCCACAGGTGGGACTCAATCAGGTACTCAAAAGATGCTCATATTACACCGAAAATTTTCTGCTGCCTTTGGTAAAGCTATCTCTGTTCTTTGACAAGGGCTGGCTGACAAGGGCAGACCCCGCTCCCTCATCCTTCTGACATCTAAGGACTAAATAATCCCATTCACATGATAAAGAAAATGAAACAGAGATGTGTCACCCAAGCAGCTCAAAATTGCTGCAAATGAAAGCATAATTTGCAATCACAGAGATACAAACGAGCTCTCCACTTACAAATCATCACCCCATGTTGCTGACAGTGTCATTAACATGCCAGCTCCACTGAAAGCTGTGCAAAACTTCTATTATAATCCACTGACTTCCATCACTTACAGCTTCCAAAAGCTGCCACCTACCAGACTCAAAGATCCGCCAGCTCAAAGCTAAATTAGAAAATAAAATAAAAAAAAAACCATCCTGGGTAAAAGGAAGTTTATGGCTACATGGATGTTCTCTCAGCAAGAGCAGCAACAAGAGGTGCTCTCAAACCCTGTGCTCACAGGAGCATGTGCTGAACTGGATTAGGGAACTGAACCAAGTTAAAAATAACCCTAAAGAGGGGAGGGAAGTTATTTTTAACCCAGATCAGTTCCCTCATCTGGTTCAGCCCCAAAAACAGGTTTTCTGGCTCAAGTGAAGACAGGACGAGAAGTGAGGGGGCAGGACCTGTCTAAGCCTGCACTGTCACGGAGAAAAGTGTTTGAATAACTCTGGTCCGAGCAGTGAATCTGGGCAGGCTTTCCTGAGGGCCGGCAGCGGAGGACAGTCGCCTGATGGTCTCAGCAAGCTGCCAGGGTCATTTTGCCCAGGGAACAGGGTGGCACATCGTGTCCTTGTGCCCCGCAGCGGTGTAAGCGAACGCACTTCACAGTTGGGCAGGCTGAGACCACACCCAGACTCAGCTCCCACAGCTCAGCTAATGAGCGGTAACTCGCTCACCACCCTGACAGCTTTAAACGGTGGGGATGGACCCTGGTCACCTTTTTTTGTTGCCTGCAGCTGCCTTTTTGAGCATCCTTCCCCACCGCAGAGCCAGAGGCTGTGGCTCACAACCTACCTGTCATCTGGAAGGGAGACTGACCCAACCTCTGCTGGACACCTCTTAGGACTTCTTCTATCTCCTTCTGGATGTTGCACACGACCTCTTCCATCAGCCCCACATCAGCTATTCCTTTCCAGAACATCAGCGTGTCCTCTGGCACAAGGAGAGGGAAAAAGAAGTCAACACATACAAGCATTTGGCATTTTTTTCCACCAGGCTACCTTAAACCTTCCAGGCACGAGTAACTTTGCAAGACGACTTCTAATTTGGCCATTGGGGTGGATATGACGTGCCAAAAAAACCCCAAAAGAAGCAAAACAGACCCCGGCAGCAAATCACTAACATGTTTTCAAGCAGCACCGTGACTTCCAAGGCAACATTTCACTGCCTCTGTTCACCTCTGCAAGATACAGAGCTTAAAATCTTTGTTGGAGGAAATTCTGTCTATGCTTAAGCTTCCGTACTGATCCTAAGAGGGAACGCAAGGCACCGCAGCCAGAGAGACACAGCCAAGAGAGCGGACAGGGTACAAACAAGACACTGCTCCCTGATGGTTTCAGTCTAGCTCCAGGCTGGCAGACATCTACATCCTTAGAATGAACAACAACAACAAAAAAAAGCCCCCCACACTGTAACTAGTAGCAACTGCTCTGGGGGATCACCCATCAGCCACAAGGCCAGGGCTGAGGTCTCACTCTGCCCGCTGCAGTGGGGAGCTCCATTTGGCCGGGACCCTGCCCACCTGGGAAACGCTGGGATAGCCAAGGGGCTGGGGGGCAGCTCTGTCACTGCCTAAACTCTCCTTATTTTCAGGATTTCAGTCTCCAGAACATAACAGGCGAGGAAACGGGGAGAAAACACCCAACAAGCAGCCTGAGCTTACCCGAGATCTCATCCGTGTCCTTTTTCATGCCTTCCTCAGTGGCCATGGTGACGGCAGCCGTCAGAGCCGAGTTCCACTCAATCCCCTCCTCCATGCTCTCCTCCGACAGCGCGATCTGGGTGATGCTCCCTGCCAGAGAGGCAACGTCAGCGCTCTCTGCGGCACCCAGAGCGCCAGCCCTGAATCCCTGCTTTGCTTTCCACCCCCCTCACCCCCTCCCCAGGCTCGTTTTCACTCTCATGGTCAGGTTGTTTGTGCCTGGCTTCTTTCAACCAAATTAGCTAAAAGCAAATATTGCTGCTTCTCATTGGCACTGTGATTGGGAAAGGCTCTGGGGCTTCTGGAGGGAAAACCACGTGCCCTCCAGAAAGCAAACTGGAGTCCTGGTATAAAAGGAGTAGAAAGGGATCAGAATAAAGAAGGGAACAGATAAGCCTCAGCCCAGCCACCCTTCTCCCCTTGCATCACCAATGGGGAGCTCTGCACCCTACAGATGCCCTAAGCTCTTAGAAAATGGCAGGGTCAGGGTCCAAGCTGGTTTATAGGGAAATGGATCTGACTCAATCCTAAGTTTCTGGATCAAATTTGGGACTAAGCCAACGTGCAGCCACTGTAAGGTTTTACCATGTGGCCATGGTGCTTTCCAGGAGATTCTCCTTGGCCTGTGGACCACTCTGCCATCTCACCCACCCAGGGCCTTAGAGAAACGTAACCTGCCCAGCTGAACGATGCGGTACGGTTGGGAGCGGTCTTCTCCCTTAACCTCAACAAAGAAATCACCTTCTGCTCTGAAGCACGGGATTTGCCAAGAATTTGCAGTCAGAATGACAATCAAATCATGTCCAGCCATCACACACCGTTCATGGATGTCCAGCATGTGGAGCAGGCTGCTCCAGAAGAGGTCAGCATGCTTAGATTCATTCCTGCATACCAGTCCATCTCATGCCTTTGTAATAGACCCTCAAACAAGAAAGCCTTCAGGAAACGCTGTCCGAGCTCTCTCGGGTGTTTGCTCACACGGTGAGCCCAGAACAGGGATCCCTTCAAGGTGAGCCTCCCCTGGCTCCCAAGGCTGCCTCTGGTCACTGCGTAACACCGTCTGCTTTCCACCCCCCATTACTGCAGCGCAGAGCTCCCTGCAGAGCAGAGCTCCCTGACGGGTGCTACCGAGGCCTCTCTGAGCAGACATGAGAAGCATTTTCCTTCCCAGAAGCCAGAGCAGTCTCCCAAATGGTGGGACTGCCCTGCTACGGCCTGGGGAGAAGGTGTAAAGTGCGTGGGGGGCGTCAACCCGATTTGATTAGGCCAGGGAGGGAGAGGAATGTCAGAGGGAAACTCCCATGGCATTGCTAACCGGTTTCCTACCATCAGCTGATGTAGGAGTCTGCACCACGCTCTGCTGCCCTGGCACCGGTGCTCTGGCGCTGCTGATCAGGAGATCAAACTTGGTGCTTCGACAGGTGTTGGTGCAAACTTTGTCGTGCTGGTAGAAGTCGATTTGCCCCGAGTCCATCATCTTCCTGTGCAGGGAGCGGGGAGAAAACCAGGCTCAGCTCAAATCTCAGCCTGGAGACAAAAGGGAGTATTCCACGTAGGAACGCTACGGCCACGGGAAGAATGGAGAAAGGGAGAGCCAGGGCCACTCTGCACAAAAAACATCTCCTGCAGGGCTTTCAAATGCCAAATACAAGCCATCCCCCAGCTTCACACACAGGGCTCCAGTCCTGTTCTACCCCCACCAAGTACTAGGTCCCCCAGGCCAGGCTGCTTCTGCACAGGATGAGGAATCCTGCTCCTCAGACCACGGGGCCAGGATCTCTGCCCCAGAGGTGCTGCAGGTTGCTGGCCAGGTAATGTGAGCCTTCAGGAGATCTCCCGGGGACTGCAAAGCAGACAAAATGCCTGCTCGGGATCCTGCAGCTGCGGTGATGAAGCCCTGAAGCTGGACACAGCGGTAGGCGAGTCAAATACCTCAGCATGATTCCTCCAAGGCGAATGGCTCTCTTCCAGTCCTTTAGGGTAGACTTCCCAGCCAGGTGAACAAAATGCTTCGGGCTGATCAGTTGGTCATTGAACTGCCAGGGAGATAAAGAAGGGCTCAGCAAACACAGGGTAACATCCCTTTGGAAGACTGTATTGGGACACCCAACACGGCCAGTCCACAGCTCATCTAAGCCCACGCTTCTACCCAGAAAGCGGGGCTGCTTCTCAAGTTCCCACCAGCTTTGATCCCCTCGGCACAGCAATGCTTATAACTCTAGAGCGGATACATTTGCAGGGATGACCTGCCGGCCACCGGCATTCGAACCACACAGCCCTAGCCAAGAACAGCCCTCGCGGGCTTTCGTACGAAGTGTGAACCAAATTAGCTCCTTCTGCGAACACGTACAGCCATCTTGGAGATCATTATGGGAGACTCCCGTTACATCCAACAGCCGAGCAACGTCTCGCTGATGCAGGTATTCGCTCGGGCATCTGCTCCGTCCTGCTCCAGTGACTAAGACGGCTCCTGCTGAGGGTCAGCAGCAGCGCACTCTCGCTGCAGCAGCACACGGGGACTCAGCCCCAGCGCATCAGCCGTTACATGGGCACGCTCTCGAGCGGAAAAAGGTAACAGCAAGATTTCCCTTCTCGATGCAACCTGCTCGCTGAGGAAGTGACGGGAGCAGAGTATCAGGACACCAAGGGGAAGAGATAAGGACAAAAAGCTCTGGTAGATCTCAGTACGCATCCCTTGCTTGCCTTCAGCTCCAAGTCCCTCGTCAAGTGCCAAATACAACGCTGCTTTAAACAGTAATCAAGAGCGGCGCTGAAATATCAGGTGGGTGAGAGGCCTTTGCTCCTTAACCCACTCCTCCCCTGCTTCTCCCCATGCTAGAAACAATTTTAGCACTAACAATCCAGCACGCTGCAAAGGCAAAGTCATTCAGCTCCAGGACAAGGCTCAGATGGAACACAAAAAGTAAGAAAGTCCTGCGGAGGTCAAGCACCAGACCTTGAGAGCAGAGAAGGAATCCGCTGTGAAAACTCCCTTACCTTTACACACTTGACATTAATTCCTGGACAGACGAACTTCTTCCAGAGCAGGATGGCTTTGCTCTCCCCGCAGGTGATGGGATAGGCGATCTCGATTTCCTCGTTCGTTTCAATGGTGCTGGGGTCTGAGGGAGGAATGGGTGAAAATGAAACGTTCCACCCAAGAGGCTCAAATCCCACAAGGTGGGAGCTGAAAGCTCACACGTTGTGAGACCTACACTCAGGAAGCCAAAAGAAGGGCTGATCCCAGTTCAGGATCAGTTCTCTCTTAGTCTGCTCCAATTACTAGCTCTAACAGCAACTGGCATCTGCTTTTTAATATAGCAACACTCAAAATGAAGCTCATCTATCAGGACAACGTGAGATCAGAAATCCAACACATCTTTAAGGGCGGGGGGGAAGTGAGAACAATCTTTTTGGAAACAAAATGCTTTAAAATTTGAAGCACAGCTATCTCTCCGATTTCTTGGAGCTCTGGTATCTCTTTAGCAGCGATATCAGATATTTACTGATAATATATTCTCTTCACACGCAGAGTTTCTGCTAATACTGCCAAAAGACCCACACCCACACAGGAAGCAGAACACTAGTCAAGATCTGGTGACAGCACCTCACGACAGGAGCCTTCTCCCACATACTCCTCAGGATGGCGGGGAGCACCCAGAGCCAACCTGCTCGCTTCTTCTGAACATCCAACCCAAACTGCCAGGCTGTTTGTTCAACGAAGAACCGGCAACCAGAGCCTGATGCCTCGGGCAGTGCAGACACAACCGCCATCCTCATAACCATCCTTCCTGCCTGCTAGGGTCTGCACACCACGACTAGGGTGAAATCTCGGCTCCCCTGGACCCCGTGGGAGCCCTTACCATTCATTGCAGGAGAGCCAGGATCTCAGTTCCAGGACTTTGAGACCAAGCAGTAACAGCAGACTCTTATTCCAGAGTATGCCCAGACCCTGCACCCACATCCATGCCTGGGAAACAGCATCTGCAGGGGCAGAGCCAGAAGGAAGCCCAGCGAACTGGAGACACCAGCTCAGCGGCGACCAGCCCTGCAGAGGAGGGGATTCTGCCCATGCCGAGCGGGAACTCACCGATCCCTTCTTCGAGCTTGTGGATGGTGTGGGTTTCGACGGCCACTACGGCGGCGCTGGCCTCAGAGCCCTCTTGGTAAATCCTGTTGTGAAAACAGCCATCTATAAACAAACTATAAAAATCAAGGGGAATTAAGATTCACAGCACGGGGTTAAAAATTTGGTTCCTTTCTTTCTTGCCTGTCCTGGAGGGATGCGGATTTCGTTTGATACGGTTTCAATCACAGGCATTTTTTTGGCACATACAAAATACGGTAATAATCCCAAGGACTGAAACACGCAGAGGCGTTCCCAGTCCTGTCATCGCACCCTCCGCGTTGCCAGCACCGCTGAAGCAGCTCTGCAGTGCGCTTCCCTGTGCCTTCTCCTCTGGTTTCTGCGACAGGCAGTTACCCACGGCCACAGGAAGCAGCGCTCAATGCCCCAGGATTTCCCTTCCCGCCCTGCGTGACACCGCAGCACGGGCGATCACGCAGGGAAGAGTCCCTGTCAGGCCGACAGCCACCCTGCTCTGCAAATATTATCAAACTGGGGCCAGTATATTTACGTCCTGATTGATCCAGAGTTAAGATGAAGTGCCTGGTGGCAGCCACTTCTCCACAATAGCTGCCACGGGTAGCACAAAATTCCCTCCAACATCCCAGCTTCCCTGTATTTTAGAGGAGGATTATTTTAGTAGAAAGCTGGCACAGAGGCAATATGTGGATCTGGACACACGGGCACAGACCACCACGTACAGCAGCTGCAGTGTTGCAAAAACGCACACTGGGGCTGGAGAGGGAAGAAGGAGACCGGGAGGACGCGTGGCTGGGGCAGCACCGTGACCACCTCGCCGCTTCCCCACGGCCACGGCCAGCGCCGGGCTGCCGCGACCCACAGAGACAGCATCACGCAGGCACGTCTCCGCAGGGCAATTTCAGTCCTCGGAAGCCCCATGACAGCGACACACACAAAAGCTTTCTTGTGTGTATTTTTCCCCTCTCCCGTGCGTGGCACAAAACCGACGCAGACCTGGAAAACGCAGCAACGCTCGGTCCCCACACCACGAAAATCTCCAGGGATGCCCCCCAGCCCACCCCGCACCTCCCGGGCACACCGGTACCATCCAACTCACCCTTGCTGCACCGGCTGGAGCTGCAAGATCACTTGGGTTTTGGTATCCTCCGGGTTCTCCCCTTCGTTTCCGTCACTTGGTACAACCACCACATCGCCCACAGGGACGCTCACTTCGGCATTCGCCATCTCTCACATGAAGCCCGGCGGTGGCGGGGTGCCGCGGTGCTGCAGAGGGCAAAGCAGAGGCAGGTCTGTACCGCGGCAGCACCGCTGCCTGTGCAGGGCGAGGGGCAGGCACCGGTGTGTAAGCATGATCGCCCAGTCCCGCCGTGGCAAAGGCCGGGCTAGCAGGGCCGGCGGAGCAAAGCTCCGGCTCCAAAGAGGGCAGCAGGCATTTTAAATTCACCACCAGAGAGAGACGGCAAGTGCCTGTCAACACACACAGGGATTTCT